ACATCCTTTGTTTCCCTTCTCATGTGATCTCTACTGCCCTATTCTGTCTGCCACCTTACCAGGGGTTCCAGATTCGGTATACCATCCCCACCCTCTAAGAGCATGGCAATTTAATCTTGAGCATCAGCAGTATAAACATATAGGGAATAGGAGTCTCGTGGCTTTAAAATAATATTTCATTAGAGTTGTTTTTGATTCATGACATTTTATTCTTTAGAGTTCAATGCTCTCTAGATTTTATCTTTCACACATCCTGCTTTCTTTTTTACCTGGCTTATATGATGTTGAGCCATTTCCTGTTTTCTATACAAGTCAACTGTCTCTGGGTTTTTTTTTTGTTTGTTTTTTTCAGTCGGAGTCTCACTCTGTCTCCCAGGCTGGAGTGCAGTGGCACACTCACAGCCACCACAGCCTCGAACTGCTGGGCTTAGGTGATCCTTCCGCCTCAGCCTTCCGAGTAGCTGGAACTACAGGCGCACACCACCATGCCAGGATAATTTTTTGCTTTATTGTAGAGACACTTACAAAGTTGCCCAGGCTAATCTCGAACCCCTGGACTCTGGCAATGCTCTCACCTTGGCCTCCCAAAATGCTGGGATTACAGGCTTGAACCATTGCACCTGGCCAACTGTCTCTGTTTTTATCAACTTCATGAGGAATTGGGAAGCAGAGGTGGTGAAAGGGAGAAGGGGAGAAGGGAAGGGGTATTTCAATACAAATTGCTGTTAAAAAAAATCAGACTTTCTAAGGGAAATCATGTCTTTCTCTTTTTTACTGACTGTTGAGCTGAGAGCGATGCCTGTGTTTACCAATCTGTGAAGTGCAAGAGCTCAGAGATGAATATGCTGTTCAGGAACCTAACCTAGAATGGGATCTGACAGGCCCAACTAGCGATTCTCAGCCCTGACTGCACACTGGAATCACCCAGGGTCCCACCCCGTCAAAGATCATCAATCTCTGAGGGTGTGGCCCAGGTTTAGGTATTTTTAAACACTGCCTAGCTGATGATTATGTGTAGCCGGAGCTGAGAATCACTGTGCAGGCTAGCTGTTTAGACCGCACCCGTGGTGGGGGAGGGCACTTACTGCCTGGGTTAAAATAACATTGTGTTCTGTGACTGGAAGAGAAAAGTGAAAAGGTCATTTGTTTTTGGACTTTTGGCCTAAGATTCCAGAGAGACAATCCTTCTTCTTTCAAGGCCTCTTCGCTCCTTTTTAAAACAGTTATCTCCTATCCCTCTTGCTGTTTGTTTGAAGTTTATCTGCTCCAGAAGCCCGTAGCATTCTGCAAAGGCTTGTTTTGTCCTGGAAAATTCATAATGGTTTGTGGGTGAGCTCTTTTTTGTTCTGGGAAGTGGGAAGTTCCCGTGGCTTCTCATCAGCATTCTGCAGGACCCATTGTCCTTTTGTGGGGAGGCAGCCCTGAGTCTTCATACTCTGTAAGCTCCTAAAACCAGCTTGTTAGAAATGCACATTCTCAGCCCCCATCCCAGAACTACTTTTTCAGAGACTCTAGGGCAGGAACCCAGCAATCTGTTCTAACAAACGCTCTGGGTGATGCTGATACATGCTGAAAGTTTGAGTACCACCCAGTAGGTCTGGGATGGGGCTCGAGAATTTGCATTTCTGATAACCTGCTAGGTAATACTGAAGATGCTGGTCCAGGACTCCACTTGAGCACCGCCAGCTTAGCCATTCCCACGAGGCCGTGGGAGGCGTTCACACTATTTCCAGGCTTAAGCCTACTGGCCAATATTAGACACTTGGAGCTGGGGCAGAAGAAAATGGAAAGGAAGCTTCTGCCCAGCTTGAACCTAAACATGATCTCCTTCCAGCTCTAATCATGTCTCATGCTGCTGAGCCTTTCTCCTCAACACAGATCACAAACAAATAATTCTGTCCTCAATTGTGTTCCTTCTGCACCCTTCATATTATTTATGCCCGTTCTTTCTACCTGTACTCTGCTCTCAACTTTCCGTTTAGTAGTGGGAACGGTGACCTAAATAATTCTGAATGGCAATTTTTTTTCTTTTGGTTTAGAAAAGTTTTGGATCTGGTTTTTTGTTTCGTTTTGTTTTTTTCCCAGCTTAGGTTTTTTGCCTGTTTATAAAGATCTGGGTTCATTACCAGATATTCCTCTTGCCTAGTCACCCTTCTCATTTTGTTGGGCCTCAGTTTCCCTAAGTAGGATTATTGTGATGGGGCATGGTTACCTGAGACCACAGAACCCAAAAGCAAGCAGAGAGCTGAGGTCGGCCTTATCAAGGAGCACCAGAAACATGCTAAAAGCCAGTCACTGAATAGAGAAAGCAGGGAGATGACCCACCTGGGCCTGACCAGCAGTCTGTGTCTTCTCCAGGAAGCAAGGTACATAGGAGGGCTGGCCAGGTGTCAAGGGCTGGCCAGTAGCTGACAGAGTTGTTGATTCTGTGATTTTTCTTACCAAAAAGAAAAAGAAAATGATCACTGCTAGATCTGAAGGCAATCCAGAGAGTTTCAAAAATGTTTTACACACAGGCAATAGCATTTGCATACGTGATTTTTAAAGATTAATTCTTAGAGAATAACTTGTACCTAGATGTTTACATTTTTCAAAAAATCACCGATCTCGAATAAGGCCATTTTGCATTTCTGTTTACCAGTGACAAACAGTTAAAAAAATAATAGTAGCAACAGATAATGTTTGATATTTGGGAGATGAAAGAGAACTATTAAAAGAAAAATTTTAATTCACACTAGGAAAAAAACAGAACAAGACTTAAATAAGTGGGGAGCTATTTTCTGTTTCAGAATCAGATTTAATGAAGTTACAGTGACATACTTAATATCCAATTTAGTTTATGGAGTTCATAGAAATTAGATTTCTAATATGTTATTTTATGAAAATTGACAAAACCCTGATACAATAGATACATTTTTTAAATGGGCTGAATGCAGTGGCTTATGCCTGTAATCCCATCACTTTGGAAGACTGAGGTGGAAGGGTCGCTTGAGGTCAGGATTCCGAGACAAGTCTGGGCAACATAGTGAGACTTCATCTCTACAAAAAATAATAAATAATTAAATAAATAAACTCCAGTCAGTGTCACCAAAAAAAACACACAAAAAAACACACAACAAAATGCTGTATTATAGTTATCTAGCTGTGGTAGATGAATTAATTTTGCAAGTTCTAAAGCAGTAGGCTAAATTATGAATTATGAATAAGAAGGACCTGATTATATAAAAATTCACCATAACAATCTTAATTCTTGAGGAAAAAGGAAAAAATGCAAAACTATTTGATGCAAACAAAATTGGTAAAAATTAATATTAAAAATATGAAAAACAGTTATAAGTCTATAGGTCAGTACCCATTCTCTACTAGATAAATGGTTAAAGGATATGAGCAAATAGTATAAATAAGATGAAATATAAGCATCAAGCCAACATTTGGGATTATTTCTGTCTTAACAATAAAAATATGAATTAATAAAAGTACAAGTTCATTTCATACCTATTGAGGTAGTAAAGTGACAAAACTCAGTGCTAATATGCTTGTGGAGGAGTAGGCACACGCCCAGATTGCTGTTATGTTTTCTGGAGAGCAGTAGATCCAAAGGAAACACAGGCTACCAAGAAAATTGTTGGTTTCCTGAGGCAACACTCCCACAGGAATAACTCCTAAGAAAATAATGTAAAAGAAGAATGATTATTTGTGTAATGATACATGAAGCCATACTATGCATGTAGTGAAAATCTGGCCATTACCTAACTACCTGATAACTTGAGAGTTGCGTTGCAAACTAGAAAATATTACTATGCCATTGTGATAATAACTACTAAAGCCATACATCTGAGGACTTGAATGATATCATACATAGCATATGCAAGATAAAAAAGTGGAATGGGTTTGTCAGAACTCTGTCAAAGTATGTTTGTCTAATGAGTGCATCAGTGCTACTAGGATTTCTCAGTGATCCCAGTCAGTGCTTCTCAGATGTTAATATGATTAAATCAAGTCTCAGTTGCCACGGATGGCTTACAAATTGGAAATGTCAGATTATTCAATTTCATAATCACAGAAAGTGCTATTGGACAGCATTAAGCTAAATCATTAATGTCTCAAAAGTGAAGGGGATCTTTTTTTCTGTAGAGTTATTTGAAATGTACAATTAAAAGCTTATTCTCTTCCTTTGTAGTCACAAATAATATGTGTGTATATCAGTTATAAGACATAAAAGAGATATAACAACGCACAATTTTATAGAATGAAAATGTTAAATAAATAGAATTGTTTCATGTAGTATATTGTCAGTCCATTGATATGTTATCATAATTTGTTCTTTGTTTCTTGATAGGTAATCATTCTGATAGTTTGTTTTCAGTTTCTTTGCCAATTTTTGCCTCTTCTGTCCTTTCTAAGCTATACACAAATTATAACTTAATGTATACTGGGAAGATGTTTAAAGAAGTATTACAGCCGGGCTCGGTGGCTCAGCCTGTAATCCCAGCGCTTTGGGAGGCTGAGGTGAGTGGATTGCCTGAGCCCGCGGGTTCGAGAACCGCCTGGGCAGCGAGACCTCATCTCTACAATAAATAAAAAAATCAGCCGGGCGTGGTAGTGTGCGCCTGTAGTTCCGGCTACTTGGAAGGCTGAGGCGGAAGGATCGCCGGAGCCCAGCAGGTCGAGGCTGCGGTGGCCGGAAGCGGCCACTGCACTCCAGTCTGGGTGACAGCGTGAGACTCCAACTCAAAAAAAAAAAAAAAAAAGTATTGCAGCACTTTAAAGTCAGATATGTGTATACAAGTGTATAATTTGTGAAGAAAATACATTGCACCCCATCTAGCTGTTTTTTATACCTTTATTTTATTAAAGTGTATTCTTGAAGCAGGACCGACCTGTGTCAGTTATCAAAGAATATGGGTATTTATCTTTGTTGACTGAAAGTTTTATGACTGATTTCTTTTTTTTTACATCTGTGAAGTGGAAACACTGGCAATTGTCATGTTTTCTTCCAGGAACTTATGCAAATATTCTCATGAAGTTCTCTCAGAAGAGAACTACAGAGTCCTGAAAATTCACGAGCTCTCTGGACTTAACCAAGAGGAACTGGCAGTGCTCCTCCTCCAAAGTGACCCTTTTTTTATGCCTGAGGTAAGTTATGATCCCTCAGTTTAAGAAACAGGGAGAATATTATTGGTAGTGTTGTATCATGGATATGTTGGAACAGGAGCAGAAAAATCTCAGAGTTAGCACCAGGACTCTGCGGGTAACAGTCAAAGCTGTTGCTGAGTGACTTCAGAGATCCCAGGTATTTCTCTTCTGTTTGGGGTTTTATAAGAAACTTTAGCTGGAATGCCTCCTCCACTAGGCTGCTGAAGAACCCTGTGTGAGCGAGTAGGAGCTGATAATATAATAGTAACAGGACTAGTTGAGGCTTTACATGGTTGTGGGGGTGCATCTGAGGTTGACTTTTGATTGAGGTTTGGAAGATGACAGGGAAGATGAGGGCACAGGCTAAGCTGTTGTAACAGAGACCCTCCCCAATACAGTGGTTCATATAAAATATAATTATATTTCTCTGTCACTTGATAGTTTAGATTGGGGTCAGCAATCTATAACTTACAACCCAAATCTGGCCTGCCACCTATTTTTATAAATAAAGTTTTATGGGAATACAGCTACACCTATTTGTTTATGTAATGCCTATGGCTGTTTTTACTCTACAAAGGCAGGCTAAGTAGTTGCAACAGAGACCAAATGGCCTGCAAAGCCTAAAATATTTACTCTCTCATCCTTTACAGAAGAAGTTTGCCAACTCTTGGTCTTGCTGGGATGTGGGCAGAGAGGTAGCCTGAGTGGTCAGGCAGTGGGACTTCATGATGTCATCCAGGAATTCAGGCCAGTAGGTCAATACTATTATTTTCCACATGTGGCTTCCATCTCTGGGTACAATGAGACTATACTCATTGTCACCAATTTCTAACCGGTGGGAACATAGAGAGGAAGTAAATGGAAAGCAAACAATTTCCTTTTCTAGAGATGTGACATTGTATATGTTGTATATAGCACATCTGCTCACATCTCATTGGTCAGAGCTTATCACATGGTCACACTTAACTGAAAAGGAGGCTGGGAAATATAGTTTCTGGCTGGGTAACCATATGTCCACCTAAAACCTTAAAATTTCTATTATTAGAAGAAACTTAGGTACAATGGCGGATAATTAACAGTCTTGTCCACACAGGAGTATAGACTTGAGGATCACAGGATACTGTTTAAAGCATAGTATCTGCCTGAGAAAAAAATCCTTTAATAGAGAAGTTAGCCTCACATTGAAAGAGAGGCACAAAAATGTAATGAAAGACCCAGATGGTGTCAGTAGGAAGGATGGAGACCATATAAGCAAGGTTGAAATTCAGATGCACTTTCTTTATGTGATGAGATAGTAATTGGGGACTTCTGGAGAGTGAAACATTTTTTGACTCTGAGCTCAGTGTACATATTTCCCTAAGGACTTAAAAAAAGTATGACATGAGAAGTGATTTTTGAGTCAGCCATAGTATTCAAAAGAAATATGAATGCAAAACACATATTAAACACCTACTGGGGAGAGGAAATAAAATATATCCTGCTTCCTCCCCTGCCTCATGCATTCTTCTATCTAGATATTGGATTTGTGTTTCTCTCTCTCTCTTTCTTTTTAGGAGTACAAGATTTAAAGGTCTCTTGGCCTGTGTGTCAGCCCAGCCCTCATGCCTACCAGCATGGGGAAAATGCCTTACACACCAACGTCTTTAAAGGTTCTGCTGGCAGGGGTATACTGTCCTTTTCCTTTCATGCGAGGGAATGACAAGGTGAAGCCTTGTTATACAACATAAGAGTGTTGACCTGTGGTCTGCCTTAATCTGGTGTGAACTTGGAGGTTTAGAAAGGCCACTTGTTGGGTGTGATTCCTGCCTCAGTTCTTCAAAAACACCAAGCACTTTTAACATCAGGCCACGCATCTGTGTCAAGTCCCTGGGGAATAAGGGGAGTGTTAGCTCTTCCCTTCTCTAAGGTGGAGGTTGGCAGTTATGAACCTAAGAGAAATTGCTGTTGTGTGAGGGATCTCAGAAGACCCTGCTGACCAAAGCTCTATGAGGACAATTCTTTTATCAAACAGTTCAAAGAAGGGTGTAATGTCATTCAAGGTTCCCTCTCCCTTGTAAGAATTCAGTACCTAGGAGGCTGAGATGAGGGGATTGCCTGAGCCCACAGGTTCAAGACCAGTCTGGGCAACTTGGCGAGACCTCATTTCTACAATAAATCAAAAAATTAGCCAGGCGTGGTGGCACATGCCTGTAGTTCCAGCTACTTGAAAGGCTGAGGCAGAAGGACCAACTGAGCCCAGCAGGTGGATGCTGGGGTTGCTGGGAGCGTGCCACTGCACACTCCAGCCTGGGCGACAGAGCGAGACTCCAACTCACAAAAAAAAAGAAAAAAGAATTCAGTACCCATGCTTAGTGGATGGGGTGGGAAGTCTCTCCCCTGACCCCTTTTCTTTTGAATCAGTCATCTCACTCTGTTGCCCAGACGTGAATGCAGTGGCATGATCACGGCTCATGGCAGCCTTGACCTCCTGGGTGATCCTTCTGCCTCAGCCTCCCGAGTAGCGGTACTACAGGTGCATGCCACCATGCCCAGCTAATTTTTTGATTTTCTTTCTTTCTTTTTTTTTTGTAGAGCCAAGGTCTTGCCATGTTGCCCAGTCAGGTCTTGAACTCCTGAGCTCGAGTGATCTCTCTGCCTCCGTCTCCCAAAATTCTGGGATTACAGGCATGAGTCACTGCATCCCACCTGAAGCTTATTTTTAGCTAATAACTTACTTGCCATTTTCCACTTGTCAGTTCAGATCCCATACTAGAAGACTACATTGTTTCCTGAACTAGAGCTCTGGGGAGCTGGTGTCTGTAGTTAGCATGAGTTAGTATCATTGGCATAAGTTTCTATTTGAAATTCTGGGCGAGAGGAGTCTCGGCCAGGCTCGGTGGCTCAGCCTGTAATCCTGCGCCTTGAGAGGCTGAGGTGAATGGATTGCCTGAGCCTGCGGGTTCAAGACCCTCCTGGGCAACTTGGCGAGACCTCATCTCTACAATAAATCAAAAAATTAGCCAGGTGTGGTAGCGCGCACCTGTAGTTCCAGCTACTTGGAAGGCTGAGGCCGAAGGATTGGTGGAGCCCAGCAGGTCGAGGCTGCAGTGGCTGGGAGCGGCCACTGCACTCCAGTCTGGGTGACGGAGTGAGACTCCAACTCAGAAAAAAAAAGAAGCGTCTCTAAAGAAGCATTTTCAGTTGGGGGTGTAAGAGTTTTTTTGTGGGGTTTTAGCAGGAGGGGTCAGCCGGAATTCAACTGATTTCAAGAATAGTTGGGCAAGGATGACTCTCCAAGGAGGGAGCAATTATCCCTGCAGATTAGCAGCTGTTATTTGGACAATCTGGATGTTATCAGAAAGGATGAGGAGGAAGAGAGGGGCTAAGTTAAATAAAAGAAGGAGTGTAGCAAAACAGCTGGTGGGGGTGGTGGTGGATAGGATAGGCACCTGAGAGAGTCACCCTGGAATGTTCTCAGTCTCTTCATTGGTTGTTTTGCATTTGTTCATTCAAGATTTCAGAGTCCTGCAAATGTCAAGCACTGTGTTAAATACTGGAGCCAGGCAGTGGGCAGACACACTCCCTGCCCTTAAACACTTAAAATATTCACATTTTTTCACTTTGCTTTGATAACATGAAAACATCAGGCAAACCTGACTTCCTGGTATATAAACTTGTAAATCTAGAAAGTGCTTATTAAAGGAAGAAGTGCTTTCATTTGTTCTGGCCTAATTTAAGGCAGGAGCATTCTTGCTTAAACATCAGCATGGTGATAGGAATGTTATCAAAGCATCGTTTGTGGAGCTGATAATTGTTCTTTATGTGCTATGGCCTCTAGGACACTGGTTCTCAAACTGTAGCATGCATCAGAATCACCTGGAGAGTTGGCTAAAATACAAATTGTTGGGCCCCCCACCTCTGGTGCTTCTCATAGGGAGAGTTGCATTTCTAATAAGTTTCCAGGTGGTACTGATGATGTTGGTCAGGGAATCACACTTTGAGAACTGCTGGTCTAGAGTCTAGATAAATAGACTGGATAGCAGTTATATGTATCTCTTTGAATCAAGTTTTAAAAGTTGTCTACCTGGCTAAACCATTGTTACTGGTGTCTGAGTCCATGGCCTTGCCATCTAGACAAATCACGGTGAACCATGTTGATCTGGTTTGCTCAGAGTCTATCAGAACAACTTACAAATATTTTCATCTTCAAAATGTCTGAAATTCAGATTTCTTATGAATTATATTGGTTTCCTCCTTTCATGGTTCAAACATTTGCATGACACTTTATATTTTGTACAGTGCATTCACATGTTTTTATTTAGTCTGCTTAACAACTTAGGTAAATGGCACAAATGCTTTCCTTCTGTTATGGCAAAGGAAACAGACTGGAATAGGTAAGAGGGCGGGAATCCTCTGAGATCACGTAGCTGCTTTTAGGGCCTCAGACTTTAAAACCGGTGTCTTTCAGTTCTGTGTCATACGGCCTGGCTTCAGTGGCAGGATTCCTTCTGCCCTCTTTTCAGTGGGAACCATGTCACTTCAGATCTAGTCCTGTAGATATATATATATATTTAGGCAGGAAAATACAACTTATCTTTTTTAGTTGATCTCTTGAGAAACTTCACATTCTGCCTAACAGAGACTAAATTCTGGATTTCCAAATGATTGCAGGTAAAACCCACATGTCCTTTTAATTACAAAGTAAGTTGGTTATCAAAGTTGAGCCTTTTTGAGGGGAGTTCTTTTATAATATAGGGCTGACTTTGAGTCCTTATTGTAGTTAGCCATCTACTGTTGATTTTTTTCATGGATTATCAAAGTCATTGGTATCTTTTATTTTGTCTGCCCCAAATAAATTATCAATTAAATACAACTCATGAAAGGTTGTGAAATATGTGTAGTTTTTCAAAATATCTCTGCTTGCTTCAGAAATTTTTGTGCACCTGAGCTTGCCTTGTTGCATGTTTAGCAAATTCAAGAAGGTGTTGTGTCTCTTACTGTTGTTTTTACCTTTTGTAGATATGCAAAAGTTACAAGGGAGAGGGTCGGAAACTGATTTGCAGCCAGCAGCCACCATGTGAAAGACTCCACATCTGTGAACACTTCACCCGAGGGAACTGTAGTTACCCCAACTGCCTCCGGTCCCACAACCTGATGGACAGGAAGGTGTTGGCCATCATGAGGGAACATGGGCTGAAACCCAATGTGGTCCAGAACATCCAGGACATCTGTAACAGCAAGCATGCCCGAAGGAACCCCCCTGGGTCCAGAGGTACAACTTTTTCCTTTTTAATTGCAAATGAGCAGAAATTGCAAGGAAAGAAAAAACTGCCTGCAATCACTCTACCTTGCCACTTAACACTGTCTTCATTTCCCCTTCTGAGCCTTGTCCTTATGCAGACACCATTTTTTTTTTGAGTTTGGGTCTTACTCTGTCATCCAGGCTGGGCACGGATCACAGCTTACCTCCTGGGATCAAGCCATCTTTCCACCTCATCCTCCCAAGTAGCTAGGACTACAAGTGTGTGCCACCATACCTGGCTAATTTTTTAAAAAATTTTTTGTAGACTCGAGGTCTTGCATTGCTGCCAAGGCTGGTCTCAAGCTCCTGAGCCCAAGCAGTCCACCTGCCTCAGCCTCCCAAAGTGCTGAGATTACAGGTGTGAGCCACCATGTCCAGCTGCATACACTGTTTTTACACAATTATAATCATAGTATACATGTGATGTTGCAATGTGATTTTTTTTGCTTAGGTCTATTTCTCTCTAGATTTAAAAAAGTTTATCATTTGTTTAAAAGCTATGAATTATGTTGGTTTCCTCTGTTTATGGCTCAAACATTTGCATGACACTTTATATTTTGCACAACACATTCACATGTTTTTATTTAGTCTGCTGAACAACTTAGGTAAACAGCACAAATACTTTCCTTCTTTTACAGCAAAGGAAACAGGCTGGGAGTAGGTAATTAATAAAATTAGTTTTAAAAATTTTAAGGGAAAAAACATAAAAGTTTTTAGATTCACTACTTGTTAGCATTTTGCCCCAATTTATCTCCTTTTTTTCTCTATATATGTACATACAGATAGGCACACATATGGTTAAAACATTTGACATATACATATATCATGACACTGTACATCTGAATATATCAACATATATCTCCTCAGAACAAAGCCATTCTCTTATATAATCATAATACAATGAATACAACAAATTTAGTATTAATATAAAACTATGTACAATTTAATTTACAGTCCTCAGTGCTATTTTTTTAAAAGGTGTTTTTAAATTGTGGCCAAATATACATAGCATAAAACTTATCATTGTAATCATTTTTAAGTATGTAATTCAGTGGCATTAAGTCCAGTCATATTATTATGCAACCATCACCACCATCCATCTCCAGAACTTTCTCATCTTCCCAAATGAAAACCTAATGTTATACCCATTAGACAATAACTTCCCATCCCTTCCTCCCTGCAGCCCTTGTCAAATGTCATTCTACTTTCTGCCTCTGTATGCTTGACAACTCTAGGTATCTCATGTAAGTGGACTCATAGGATATTTGTTCTTTTATGACTGGCTTATTTCAGTTAGCATAGTATCCTCAAGGTTTATCCATGTTGTATGTAGCATGTGTCAGAATTTCCTTCCTTTTTAAGGCTAAATGATATTCCATTGCGTGTGTGCGTTCACATTTCATTTATCCTTTCAAAATGTTGATGGATGCTTGAATTGTTTCCATTTTGGCTATTGTGCATAGTGCTGCTATAAACATGAGTACACTAATATCTCTTTGAGCCCTGCTCTCAGTTATTTGGTATATATAATCAGAAGTGGAATTGCTGGATCATATAGTAATTCTGTGGTTAATTTTTGAGGAACTACCATACCATTTTTCATTTCTGCCAGCAGTGCACTAGGGATCAAATTTCTCTCACATCCTCTTTCTTCTCATTTTGTATTTTCTGATATTTTGATAATAGCCATCAAAATGGGTATGAAGTGATACTATTTTCTAAACATTTTTCAATTATATAATGGTATTAATTTTTAGTACCTTTTTTGAAGTAGGTGTAGAAGGGGTAAATTTTATGAAACAGATAGAACACATGATTCTAAAATTCTGTAAAAAGTAATGAACAATTACAGTTCCTTATATTTGAGAAATGGTTTATAGTTTACAAGGGACTTTCATTCAGAGTAAACATCATGTCGTTATAATTATAATTATATAATTATAAGGCAGGTAGATAATTTATTAGCTTTAAGGGCAAGGAAACCGAGGCTCAGAAATTTTAAGTTACTTTTATTGCAAGCAGCCTTAGATCATTTTTAAAAGAATGAAGGGTAATGTAATGAATACATAAAAGGTGACACTTTCAAGGCCTCACACCACTAGAAAGTAGTAGAGTTCACATGTTTTGATCCCATATCTAATTTTTTCCCCCCATATCACAGTGGCCTCTGAACAAGAGAAGATCTGGAAAGATGGTTTTGGGTATAGATTCCCAATATACATTTATGGTGTGAGAGAGATCTGTATTTATTTTCACTTCTAGTTAATCTACTGTGTTAACCATTTTGTTGACAGGAGAAAGATGTTTGCTTTTACTATATTACTGCTGCCCCTTGGTTTGGAAGAGAAAGAATCTCTCTTTTACCCCTTCCCCACACTCAATAGCACAACTTACACGCACACAAGCATGCAGGCATACCTCACAAGAGCACACCACACATGCCTCACACACAGACGTGCATATCTTCTACAATACTCCCAGCATGCGTGCATGCATGTGTGTGCATACACACACACACACACACATACACACCATATAAACATCACACACTTGCATGCCACACACACATACTCTACACACACTCAAAAATACATCTTACTTCTTCCTCCTGCTTCCAGAAGGGTGTGACTAATCATGTTTCTCGAGCGAGATCAATTCTTTCCAGGCCACTGCTTTGTCAACTTTGACTTTGGATATTATGCCCAAGCATTGTGGTGCTAGATGAAGAAATCTGGAAAAATTCCTAGCTTCAACAAAATCAGACCTGTAGAATGTCATTTCATTTCTGTTTAAGTATTGTGAATCCTTGAATCATCTGGTACACCCATATGACAATGTGGGCAAAATGAAAATGGTTTCTTGAAATCTTCCCTGATTTGCCCTAGTCATCTCTCCATTCACAGTAGTGGTGAATATTGACTCGGAACCAGGGGATAGTGGACACCCCCCCTAAGAGTTTTGGGGCCTGGGGGCTACAGCTGAGTTCTAAAAGAAAAGCCAGAAGAAAACCAGTGTCTCACTTATCCTAGACCATGGAATGATGTTCTATGCTATGGTAGGAGTATGTCAAGATTCCTTCATCCACTGACACCATAGCTTGGACCTATAGTCCCAACTACTCCAGAGGCTGAGAAGGGAGGATCCTTTGAGCACAGGAGTTTGAGGTTGTAGTGAGCAATGATTGCACCACTGCACTCCAGTCTGGGTGACAGAGCAAGACCCTGTCTCAAAATAAAAAATTAAAAAAAAAAAAAACTTCATTGTCATAAATACCCATCTTTAAGATTTTTACACACCAGATTTGAGCAAGTAATTTGATAGAAATTGAATAGCAAAAGCTGGAAAAGCTAAGAGGAGGAATGTGGGTAGGGATGCAATCACATGAGCTCTAATTGTCATTATTTTGTTTCATTTTGTTTCCTAGCTCTGTCCTCACATCGGAGAAACGTGGCATATAGAGCTAGAAGCAAAAGTAGAGATCGATACTTTCAGGGCAGCCAAGAATTCCTTCTGTCTGCTTCAGCTTCTGCTCAGAGGTCCTGCACATCCAGTCCAGACCTAATTGACTGCAAGGTTTCCCTGGAGGATGAGCCCATAGATGATCTTGCACACAAATTCACCTATCTAGAGAGTCAGGATCGTGCTCAGCCTTCCTCAGTCTCATCCAAGGCTACCGATTTTGGAGGAATAGGCCAGGCAGGGGTGAGCCGGAGGTTTCCAGAGAATGGCGGTCCAGAGAGCATCTTTTTTGGGAATCAAGGCGATACTTACCTTGCTTCTGATTCAACACCAGCCTCCAACTGGAAGAGCCCCACATCCTGGACGAATGACCAAGGCACCAGGATGGAGAACGTGTTCTCCCCAGTGCTAACATTGGCACACTCTCCTCCTCCTGCACAAATACCTGAAGCCATGACCACCAGAAGGAGCACTGATGTGCTTTCATCAGACCGCAGGAACATCCAGGGCAATAGTGGAATTCAAGACCTCCAGCATGGCTCTCTTTTTAATAATAATGCTGATGGCATGGCCACAGATTTCACTTCCCTAAGATCTTTACGTTACAAAAGCACCACCAGTGCTCAGGGAGAAATGTCTCTACCTAGGAATCAGGACACTGGAGCTACTTCCAGAGATTTCCAGACCACTGGCAGAGTTACTGGGGATGATGACCCAGGAGTGGCGCTTGTTAATGGTAAATACAGCGGGAAGATATTTTGGGCTAGTAAATCTGTCCACAGTGCACCAAAAAGCTCCAGTCAAGTCATAGATAAAACTACTGATGCAGAAAAAACTGGTGTCACTGGGGGAAAAGATGTGTTCCATTTGGGAAGCCAGAGTCTGAGAAGCCAGGTCCCAGCCATACCCAGGGAAACTTCTGCTCCTACACATGTCATCACTCTGCCTCAGTTACCTTCTCCACTTTGTGCAAGCAACACAGTGGCAGCCTATAGGGCTTGTGGGCAGAATTCCACCCAAGACCCCGCATCCCATGCCAGTGAGTTCACAAGGAGGACCCCAGGCTCTCCTCAGCATAAGTCACTGAAGAACAAAGGGGACCCGTGTCTTTAGTCTGCAGCACAGTGGCTTGGGCTGGTGATTTCTTCTTGAGTGTTCCTTAGAGGACAGAAAGTTAGAAGATTTTGATTAAGGAGTGAAACTGGTGAGGAGATTGATGTGTGAAGACAGGGAAGGGCCAGCCAGTAGAACCACATGGAATTAGTTGCTACATTTATTGACAATAGGAAGAGTTCAGCTGTGGTTTGAGAAATAAATATAGCTCTCAGGTGATTCTAATGTCCAGATTTCATTTTATGGAAGGCCTGTCTAGATGCTCACAAGCCACACATAAATCATGGGAATTTTCTTGAGCATGGCTCCTGTTTCAGATATTGGCCATTGTGAGACCAAGTGTCTAGGTTTTTGGTTTAAACACTAAGATTAGCGTACATGCATTCTCTTTTGTTTTATAGATTCCTTGTCTGGTGTTGTGAATACCACATCTACAGTAGATGACCTTGGCTCAGAGGAAATTTGTCTTGACCATCTGGATAAGCATTGCCAATTTAATAGTGAGTAACATAGGACTTTCTATAAGCTTCTACCTTTTGACCTTTGTAAATAATGATGCTGTGAATGTGGGGGAGCAAGTATCTACTCAAGTCCCTATTTTTAGTCCTTTTGGGTATTTAGTTGGAAGTAGAATTGCTGGATCGTATAGTATCTCTGTGTTTAATTTTTTTAGAAACCATTTTCTGTAATGGCTGTACCATTTTTCATTCCTACTGGCAATGTACAAGAGTGCAAGTTTCTTCACATCCTCACCAACACTTGTTGTTTTTCTGAGTGTGTGTCTCTTGTTGTTAGAGGCCATTCTCTTAAGTGTGGTGTGGACTGTAATAAGTAGTTCTGCACTTCTGAATCAGCAAGTCTCAAGCACTGCCACTTGGTGCAGTTTCCCAGTGGTGTCGAAACCTGCCTCTTTTTGTTTTACAGGAGTCGTGCATGTTTTGGAACATTTCAAAATGATTTAAACATAACAATGCAAATTTTGAACAACACATTTTGCAAAACAAAATATGAAAATTTTGCAAAGCAGAGCTATATTCTGTTTCTCTATATTGTGAACTTATAACATGCATTCATCACTCAGCCAGCTTTCCTTTGATGGCTATGTTTTGCATACCTAGCCCTAGGCCAGTTATGCAAGAGGGATGTCAGCTAAACAATGGTGCAATCTTTTCTTTAGTGACTTAGTAATTGAGGTGGGGCATCCAAACATCTGTAAATGAGGAAACTGTACAAAATTAGTAAAAACATAAATAATAAATCCCAAATTGAGTACTGAGTACTGTCTAAGGGACTAAATACAAGTCAGATGAGAGTGGAGTGAGGTTAGTTGGGGAATCTTTCTGGAGGACTTGAATTGCAGACCAGGGTTTCAGGGAGATACAGGCTGTTGCTTATGCTGGAGAGTATTTGACTTAATATACATACTTGAGGCCAGGTGCAGTAGCTTATGTAATCCTAGCACTTTGGGAGGCTGAGGCAGGAGGATTGCTTGAGCCTAGGAGTTCAAGACCAGCCTGGGCAACAGAGTGAGTGAGACCTTACCCCTACAAAAAAAATTTTAAAATTAGCTGTGTGTGGTGACGTGACTGTAGTCCCAGTTACTTGGGAAGATTGCCTGAGCCTAGGAGGTGGAGGCTGAGATGAGCTGTGATCGCCGCTGCACTCCAGCCTGGGTGACAGAGTGAGACCACAATAAAAAAAAAATACATACGCACACATACACACACTTGAGGGGCTACATAAAGGGTAACTGTAAATCGACACAGTTTTCCACGTGGATGAAATGGTTTTTGGGGAGTGGAGAGTTTTTGTTCCTGACACATGTCCATGGGTAATAAAGGAACTGGATATAGGACAGTGCAGGCAAGGACTGCATGGGCAAAGGTGTTGATAGGAGCTGTCTGGCAGGGTGGGCATGGTGGGCCTGGATGGGGAGAGCCAATGTGAACTTGGTGGAATTGGTCAGGATCCCTGATGAATGGGCCCACAAACCTCCTCTCTGTCTTTGTAGGCAGTTGCAACAAAGTTCATTTCCACCTGCCCTACCGATGGCAGATACTGCTTGTAAGGACCTGGATGGACTGCCAGTCCATGGAGAAGATCGAGGAAGCCTATTGTGACCCGCAAATCAATGTGTAAGTTGGTGGCTATACTCTAGCTTTGCAGATGCACAATGTAATCAAAGGAAAGCATAGTGCTAGACTTATGGGGAAAAAGAAAGAACACTTTTCCTTTGGGATCCCATTCAAGTGTGAGACATCTCTTGTAAAAATGGCAAAGACCTGCTGAGTTAATGAAGGGAAAACACAGATAGGTAGGCTTGAAATCACATGGAGCCTGGCTGACACTTAGGAATTCTGGGAGTATTTGCTAACTCAAAGGGACATGATTATTTGTTTAGTTGATATCTGTCAGTGTGTCCTGCAGAAAAACACAATGGAGAGGTTGGCTTGTATTCTTATCAGTTCATCGCAGAACTATTGAAAGTACTAAGTGATTTAAGACAAAAAGGTCTTTGACTTAACCTCATAGTTTAAAAACATGATTTGAATAATTTCATGTGGTTCTAATGCAGAATTTTGTTACCTACATCAGCATTTAATACCTCCCTTATATCTGTTATTTCTTCTATTCTGGGGGTATCCAAGAGGATATCTTACATTTTTACTTCTTGCAGAGCTGAAATGGGTGATACCTACATGACCATATTGACCCATGATTTGCAGGGATATAAACGCAGCCTCATTTTGCGAGGAAATTCTTTGTACTTTGGGGGAAAATTTTACATACTTCTCATATTCAAATTTAGTGAATTTTTGGTGGAGATTCTGTGTTGCTGCATTTTGCCACTAGAGGGTGGCATCAACAATTTTCTTGTTTCTAGTTATGTAGTTCTGTCTCCCACCCTCCCACCAGGTCAGTCTAGAGCAGGGTTCCTCGACCTCAGCACCACTGACATTTTGGGCTTGATAATTACTTGTTAGGGCGCCTATTTAGCAGTATTTCTGGCCTCTATCCACAGATGCCAGTAAGCTCCATCCCTCTATTTCCCCCACCCTCAAGTTGTGATAAGCAAAAATGTCTTCAAATGTTGTCAGATGTGCCCTGGAGGCAAAATTGTTCTTGATTGAGAACCACAGACCTAAGAGGTCTTTAAGAGGTCTTTCTTAGATCAGTAGTTCTGATCTAAGGACCTCTCAACACTCTCAAATTGTATTGAGGATCCCAAAGAATTTGCTTATCTGGATTATAGCTATCAATATTTACTGTATTAAAAATTAAAACTGAGAACAAGTAAATATTTATTGGTTCATTTAAAAGCTCAAATAAATAACTAGAATTAAATAGATTCTATTAAATAATTAAATTAAGTAATTATTCTATTACTTAATTAAATTAACTTTAAATAATATTGTTTAACTAATTAAATAATTAAATTTCATTTAACTAGAATTAAATAAAAAGCTAGAATAAGTAGAATTTTATATAACTATTTAATTTTGTATACATATTTATGTATATCTATTTAATAAACATAACTAATGTATATGACTATATATATACACACACATATATATGGATAACTATAAAAGAAATGTTTTCCAAAGCAAAAAATTTATTGAGAAGGGTTAAATGGTTTTAAACTTTTGCAAATCTCTTTAATGTCTGACTTAATAGACGACAGATTCTCATATCTACTCCTTTATTCAATCTGTTGTGAAATAATATATCATATAGTCTCTGGGAATCTCCACTGTACACTCAAGAGAGAGTGAAGGTGAAAAAAACAAAAACAAGTAAGGTCTTGATATTATTACAAAAATAACTTTAATTTTGCCAATTCTCTGAGAGGGTCTTAAACAACATTTTGATAACTGTTTAAATAGTAATAAATAATTTTAAAAATTGACCAAATGTGAGTTTCTCACTTAGAAACTTTATAACATTGAGCCAATCAATTGTTTTGTGCACAGTTTTATTTTGGGATATTTTCTGAGGGAAGAATACATTTTGTGATACCATTAAATATGTGGTGCAGGCAAGTCGCCTTACATCTCTGTGTTTCCATTTTTCTTTTATGTGTAAGATCTAGAGCTGCATACAGAAAATTTGAAGGTACTTTTTAGTTCAAAATTTTAAATTCTGCACTCTTGTTAGGGAAGGCCAGATTGTAGAAAACAGGGATCAATGAAACATTTTGTTAATTTTATACTGTTCTCTCTCAGCTTTTCTGGAGGAAATCATACAATCAATTTCCAGAAAATGACTTGTGATTCCCATCCCATCCGACGTCTCTCTACTCCTTCATCTGTCAGGAAGTCTGCCGATTCTGTTTTCACCACCAAGTGGATTTGGTATTGGAGGAATGAGTCTGGCAAATGGATTCAATATGGGGAAAAGGTGAGTACCATCCCTCCTTGGGGGAGGCTCTTGTTTAAACTTGCCAACTTAGAAAACTATTAATAAAATGATTGAAGCCTACATGGTCATCCATGGAGAATGGAAGTGGTAGAGGACGTGTTTTTTGTTTTGTTTTTTGTTTTTTTTAGTCAGAGTCTCACTCTGTCGCCCAGACTAGAGTGCAGTGGCTGCTCCCGGCCACCGCAGCCTCAACCTGCTGGGCTCCAGCGATCCTTCTGCCTCAGCTTTCCAAGTAGCTGGAACTACAGGCGCGTGCTACCATACCCGGCTAATTTTTTGATTTATTGTAGAGATGAACTTTCACCAAGTTGCCCAGGCGGGTCTTGAACCCGCGGGCTCAGGCAATCCACTCACCTCAGCCTCCCAAGGTGCAGGATTGATATATTGTAGAGATGAGGTTTCACCAAGTAGTCCAGGCTGGTCTTGAACCCCTGGGCTCAGGCAATCCTCTTGCTTCAGCCTACCAAAGTGTTGGGTTACAGGTTTGAGCCACCATGCCTGGCCTTTTTTTTTTTTTACTTTATACACAGCCATATGTGCATTTTTAAAGCAAGTGTGCACTCCAATTGCAATCATAAACAAAAACATATTTTAAGGAATCCCGTGAGACTTGTGTCAGCTATACATCACTCTTTCCTCATTGACAGAGATGGGAGTGGAACCTTTAGATAGTTTTCTATGCATTAATACATAAATGTGCAGAGACTACTGCTTTGAGCCAGAAAGGAAGGTGACAATGAGAAGTTAGAAGACCATATAGGTGATTGGATGGTTAATTGTACCAGGGAATGTGTTAATTCACTCAAGCAATGCAACCATATCTGGTATAGATGATCAATAGTATTCAGCCAGAGTCTGAATTCAGATGGACTTGAAGGATTGGAACCAGAAGATTCTAGGCCAACCCACAGAGAATTACATATTTGACATCATCTTTGATGACATAGTACTAGAAGTTTGGATAAGCAGAGCTTCTCCAAGTGTCCCTTCCTCCTTTGACTCATAGGATTAGCAAGAGAAGGAGAAAGAGAGATCTTTAGTAGGTAATGGAATCGGAGTGGATAAAAAAGAAAATAAAAGCAAGAGCTTAACCCTTTGCACTCAATGTCCCCTCTGAGAGGATATCATAAATCTAGCAAACTACTAGCAAACATAAAGAAGTTACTGGTGATTATACAGGACAAACATATGCAAGCACACATTTTTAAAAAAATATGTTTCCTTGAAATTTTCCATTCAGGCCGGTCTTGGTGGCTCAGCCTATAATCCCAGCACTTTGGGAGGCCGAGGCAAGTGGATTGCATGAACCCGAGGGTTCAAGACCAGCTCAGGCAACTTGGCGAAAACGTGTCTCTATAATAAACAAAAATTAGCAATAAAAAATTTACAATAAATAAAAAATTAGTTACAATAAATAAAAAATTAGCCGAGTGTGGTAGTGCACACTTGTAGTTTTGGCTACTTGGAAGACTGAGGCAGAAGGATCACTGGAGCCCAGCAGGTCGATGCTGGGGTGGCTGTGAGTGTGCCACAGCACTCCAGCCAGGGTGACGAGTGAGACTTCAACTCAAAAAAAAAAAAGAAAAGAAATTTTCCATTGAAATGACGTGAAAAGTAAATAAAGAGATGGAATATATACTGAGATATATGTTAAAAAAATCAGCTGGTGTTATATAGAAAGAGAATGTGTGAAGTGCTTTCACAGTGGTGCATACTTCTTTGTAACAGAAGGTAGCAATAAAGAGCATTTGTATAAGAAAGGCAACTGTGGCTGTACCCTTTATATCATATGCTATAACTTGAAAAGATAGATAAGCAAGTTACTATAGCCTTAGAAAAAAGAGGCTTTCAAAGTTGAAGGCAGATCCTATTGAAGTATTGAGCAGCACAGATTGAATGTAGTTATCCACAAGTCGGAAAAGTAAAATTGGAAAAGTAATATTCTTTTGATAAATTTCATTTCATGATTTTATAATTTACAATTAGAAATGCCTTATCAATTTATTTAGTTTGCAGAACAATGACAAAATAAAAAGACAAAAGCAAGAGTTATAATGTAAGCAGCAGTGAAGATTAGTTAGATTTAGACTTTTTTTTTTTTTTTGAGTTGGAGTCTCACTCCTTCGCCCAGGCTGGAGTGCAGTGGCATGCACGCTCACGGTCACCCCAGCGTCAAACTGCTGGGCTCTGTGATCCTTCCACCTCAGCCTTCCGAGTAGCCGGAACTACAGATGCACGCTACCACACCAGCTATTTTTTAATTTTACTGTAGAGAGGAGGTCTCACCAATTTACCTGGCTGGTCTCGAACCTGCAGGCTCAGGCAATCCACTTGCCTCCACCTCCCAAAATGCTGGGATTACAGGCTGAGCCACCGAGCCAGGCTGATTTAGACTTTTATACAGATATGTTAGAAAAAATAAACATTGAAGAAAACAATAGTAGTGATACTAATATTATCTCACCAAGAAAAAAACAGGCAGATGTAGTAGAAAGTGATAGCGATGAAAGTGTTAGTAGTTTTGAAGTAGAAGACAACATATCATCAAGTGAAGAATGGGAAGATGTTACAGAAAAAGACAGTCCTCCAGTGAGAATAAATTTTGTTGTACACCCTCAAACAATAGGACTACAAGTAGCAAGTAATGTAAGAGAACCAATTGACTATCTTACTCTGTGTTTTACAAATGAATTAGTGGATACTATAATAAAAGAAACAAATCATTATGCAGATGAAAAAATAAGGGAAAAGCAGCTATCACACAAATTCATTTGGCATAAATGGCATGACATTGGCTGACAGGAACTTTTAGCTTTTATCACAGTTATCCTAAATATGGAAATAATTCAAGTACCAAATTACAGGAGTGCTAGTCAACTGCTTTCAGTGGTAAAACACTCTTCTTTCTGGAAACATTCAGTAGAGAAAGGTTTATGCAAATCTTCTGGATGCGTCATTGGAAGACAGCTGCATCGAGTGATAGGATGATCAGAACCCATATTCAGAAGACCAATAATTATTTGGAATACAGTGATTCAAAATTTTCAAAATATTTCATACTAGATCAGGCAATTTGTGTTGATGAAATCTGTTGTTCAATTTAAAGGGCAAATATCATTTAGAACATACACTCCAAATAAACCTACCAAATGGGGCATATGCATTTATGCGCCAGCTGATTCAAAAACAGTTTATCTTTTTTTCAATACTTCCCTACTATGGCAGGATAGCATTCAAAAACATCATTTGACCTGATCTTCCGGTAAGCACCAGAATTCCATTGCATTTATATAAAAAATTGTTGGAAAAAGTTTCCAGTGCAGCAGCGTATCACATGTTTACTGACAGATATTATACTAATATTATCCTAACATAAGAACTACTAAGGTTGAAATGTTATCTTACTAGTACAATCAAAGTCAACTGAAAGGAAATACTAGCACAAATAAAAAAGTCAATTTTTAATGAAAAAATAATAGCATATAAGAAAAATAATCTTATGCTTCTTGCATGGAAGGACAAGAGGATTGTTACAATTCTCAGCACTTGGACTCATACATGAATGAAATCTACCACAACGATATTACATAGTGGACATATTATATCAGTCAAAAAGCCTGAAATGATTCCTAATATTGTAAATATGAGCAGTATGGATTGTGTGGATCAATATGCTTCTACTTGTATATATATATTTTTGCTAAAATCTTCAAAATGGTGGAGGAAATTATTCTTCTGGGGACCGGAAGTATGTGTTACTAACTTCTATACAGTACCAAGCATAAAATAAAAAAAAAAGAAAGAAAAAGAAAAACCTATATCCCATTTGAAATTTGTCAAGCTTCTGATCAATCAGTTGAGAAGTGGTTTTCAGGAATCATGAGCGCATCCTTCCACATCGTCTTTGAACAAGAGACTGGACAATGAATTACATATTATTAATGTGGGAGGAAGAAAGCAATACTGCATTGTCTGCTCAAATAGAAAAACACCAAGTGGAAGATGTCAAACAAATAACTATTGCACAACATGTATCAATGAACCTGCAATGCATGTCGGTGACTGTTTCACATATTACCTACCACATGTTAGAAAAATATGATATAAAATTTTTATTTTTAAAAATTAGTTCCTCAATGTTGAAAGCCGGGCTCGGTGGCTCAGCCTGTAATCCCACGCCTTTGGGAGGCTGAGGTGAGTGGATTGCCTGAGCCTGCGGGTTCGAGACCCGCCTGGGCAGCAAGACTTCATCTCTACAATTAAAAAAAAAAAAAAAAATCAGCCGGGTGTGGTAGCGCGCGCCTATAATTCCGGCTACTTGGAAGGCTGAGGCGGAAGGATGGCTGGAGCCCAGCAGATCGAGGCTGCGGTGGCCAGGAGCGGCCACTGCACTCCAGTCTGGGCGACCGAGTGAGACTCCAACTCAAAAAAAAAAAAAAATAATTCCCTTATAAGCCAAATTTCATTACAATAAGATAATTGATTCCAGTGCTATACTATTTAATATAAAGTGATTCATTTTTCACTGTTTTGTAAAAAAGTGTGGTTGAGTTGCTGGTATGTGATCTGCAAGAGGTCTCCAAGTACAAAGGGTTAAAACGAAACTGAAGATATAACAGGAACAAGAAAATGCCAGCATAAGCTTCTACATCAGCGGTCCCCAACCTTTCGGGCATCAGGGACCGGTTTCGTGGAAGACAGTTTTTTCATGGCGGATGTGCAGTCAAACCTCACTGTTAATGTATTTGTAGCTGCTCTTCAGTGCTAGCATCGTTGCCTTAACTCCACCTCAGATCATCAGGCATTAGATTCTCATAAAGAGTGTGCAATCTAGATTCCTCATATGCATAGTTTTCAACAGAGTTGGCACTCCTATGAGAATCTAATGCCACTGGCTTCTCTGACTACTCCACAGACATTCACCTCCTGCTGTGCAGTGGGATTCCTAATAGGCCATGGACTAGTGCTACATAGTTACA